AGTAAAGAATAAGAAGTGAACTATAAATTCAGGGCCATGTATGCAACTATGTGTGGCAAAATTATGAAAACCTATAAAAGAAAATAAAGAAAATCTAAATAAATGGAATAGATGCTTTCTTAATGACTGACAGACAGAATATTATGAAGATATTCCTTCTTCCCATTTGGACCAACAGATTCAGTACAATCTAATAAAAATCATAGCAGGCTATTCTGGAGAAAATGACAAACATTTGTCCAAACTTCAGAAGTCTAGACAATACTGAGAAGTGTAGAGAAACCTTGAGGAATCTACATTTCTTCATTTCATGGCTTTTTGTGAGCCTACATGATACTAGACAAAGATTAGACATATGGATAAGTGGAAAGGCATAAATACTTATGTTTAACTGATCTTAGCCAAAGGAACAGAGTCAGTCCCTAGAGAATATTAGAATATGTAGTCTTTCCAATAATGGAGATGGTGCAAATGGGTGACCATGTGAATAAAAAAAAGATGAATGCTTTGTGCATAACATATAACGTCATTCAGCACTGATGTAGAGACTCCCATGTAGAGTGGAAAAAATACTAAGATCCAGTAGAAAACACATGAGAAATTTCTGTTATGTAACGCACTGAATGTATTATCCATAAAATGTCATGTGATGTCTGATTAAATTAAAAATGCCCTCTCAAAAATACCATTGAAAAATGGAAGCTAGATCTCACACTAGGACATATTTCAAATACTTGCTTACAGGAATTGAATGCAAAGTTTATTAAGGCTTGGTAAACTCAGCAATAAGGCAATAAATTCTCCAATTTAAAACACCAATTAATAAGAATGAATCTTCATATTGAATACACACAGATGCAAAATGCACACGAATATACTGCACATTAGAAAATATGAGATAAAAGACTGAATTGTAATTAAAGCAAATTAAAAGCAATTAGACAAATCCTTAAGATGGTTATAAAGAGCAAAAACGTGGTAGTGCCAAAATTGGTGAATATGGAATATTAAAAAAATTCATTCATTATCAGTCAGAACCATAATGGCAATTACAAGGACATCTGGTGATGATATGGTAAAACATCCAACAGTATCACCTTTGCAACACCGCAAATATGTCCTTCTGGGTTTGGCTTTGTGGTGCGTGGTTAAGCCACCACAAGTGATGCCGGCATCCAATATGGGCTGAGCCTTTTTGTTGTGGCTGCTCCACTTTTGATCTAGCTCCCTGCTTAATTGCCTGGGGAAAGCAATGGAAAAGGACCCAAGTACTTGGGCTCCTGTTACTCATATGGGAAACCCAGAAGAAGCTTCTGGCTCCTGGCTTCAGCATGGCCTAAACCTATCAGTTGCAGTCATTTGTGGTGAGTGAACCAGTTGATGGGAGATCTCTGTCTTTCACTGTAATTCTCCTTTCAAATAATAAATCTTTAAAAGACTGTTTCCCTGGGGCCACACTGTTACACAGCAGGTTATTCATTGCATACAGCCTGGCATCTCATATAGTGCTGGTTGGAGTCCTGGAAGTTCCATTTCCAGATCCACCTCTTTGCTAATGTGCCTGAGAAGCAGCAGAGGATGTACACATTCTTGGCCCCTGCTCCATGTGGGAGACCTGGGAGAACCTCCTGCTCCTGGCTTTGGCCTGTCCAAGTTCCAGCCATTTAGAGAGTGAACCAGCAGAGGAAGATCTCTCTCTTTCTCTTTCCTTATATGTAACTCTGTCTTTAAAATACTAAATAAATCTTTAAAAAAAGATGTCCCGAGAAAGTTCCTCAGTTGGTGTGAAAACTACCCACGTACATTGAGCAAAAAAATGCAGTGCAACCATTTATTTATAATAGCTCTCACTCATATGAAATCATGATGTACTTCAGCAAATGAACAGATGACCAAACTGTCAAAGAAAGTGGGAGCACTTGATGTACAACAGTGGATAAGGACACAGAAGGCCCTTGTGGTGTTGTCTGAGATACATAAGAAAAGGCATGGATTGGTGTCAACAAGATAGTAAGAGTGTTTTCTGAAATATTTAAAGGCAAAATTTATGAAAAAGAGTCCAGTTTCATACCCAGACTTACAGAGCATTCTAAATAATTGAGGAAGAAAAAGTTCTCAACTTCCCAGGTTTACCCACAGTGGCAATAAGTAGGAACTAAGTTTGAAATTCTTTTCTGAATCCAACATTCCATAGATGATATGGTCATATCAACATGAAATAAAAAGGTAGAAATGGAAGGGGAGAGGGAGTGGGAAAGGGGAGGGTAGTGGGTGGGAGGGACGGTATATGGGGGAAGCCATTGTAATCCATAAATCGTACTTTGGAAATTTATATTCATTAAATAAAAGTTAAAAAAAATAAAATTAAATTAAGAGGTACGAATAAGGCATGAAGTTTAGCAACATCACTAATGTAATTATTATATGAATGAGTTCATTAATTATAACAAATTGACTATACTAAAGAAGCTAAGAATAGGAAAAACAGCACAAGGGGTGTATGACCATGCTCTGTAACACCAGAAAATATTCATAAAATGCAAAAACAATCCTAAATAAAAAAAGTAATAAAAAGGTAGAATAAAATATTACTTTTATAAAGGCAGATACACTATTTTGAGAAAAACATTTTATTTAACCAAATATGAAAACATAATAGATATGTAACAAGTAAAATATACCACAAAATGCAAAAGTAATTAGCATTCCAAAATAAATCATGTGGATGAAAAACACAAGAAAATAACATGATCATCTGGATTAAATGTTAAAATGTATTTAATAAAATTAAGCATCCAGCAAAAAAAAAAAAAAACTGTTAGCAGAAGAGAAAAAAAGAACAATTCCTTAGGGCCACCATCATGGCACAGCAGATTAAGCAGTTGTCTGCAGTGCTAGCATCCCATATGGATGCGGCTGCTCTGCTTCTGATCCAGCTCCCTGCTAATGCACCTGGGAAAGCAGCAGAGAATGACCAAAGTATTTGGGCTCCTGCACCCACTTGGGAGACCTAGAAGCTCTTGGCTACTGGCTTCAGCCTGTCCCAGTCCATGTTGCTACAGCCATTTGGGGCAGTGAACTAGAAGATGGAAAATCAATATTTCTCTCTTTCGTACCTCTTTCAAATAAATAAATAAATAAATGTTAAATAACAAAAGTAGCTATTCTCTTATATGGTTAAAATGGTCTACAATAGATCTATAACAAACAGTATAATAAACACAGAACATTTAAAGATGCTTTCTTGGGATCCCACACACCTGGCAAGGCTGTGTCCTCTCACTATCTCTCCTTAATATTGTTTTGAAGTTGTAATAAATGAAACTAAACAAGAAACAGATAAGTGACCTTTTTTTGAGAGTTATTTTATTTGAAAGGCAGAGTTACAGAGAAGCAGAGGCAGAAAGGGAGACAGAGAGATCAATCTTATATCTGCTGACTCACTCCCCAAATAGCCACAATGGCTGGAGCTGCTGCAGATCTGAAGCCAGGAGCCAGGAGCTTCTTCCAGGTCTCCCACATGTTGCAGGGGCTCAGGACTTGGACCATCTTCTACTGCTTTCCTAGGTTATAGCAGAGAGCTATATTGGGAGTGGAGCAACTGGGACTCAAACTGGCACCCCTAAGGGGTGCCAGCACTGCAGGTAGAGTCTTTACCCATTATGCCACAGCGCTGTCTCCCAAGCAACTAAATTTCTCTTTCTTTTTTTGACAGGCAGAGTGGACAGTGAGAGAGAGAGAGAAAAGTCTTCCTTTTACCGTTGGTTCACCTCAATGGCCACTGTGGCCAGCACACCGTGTTGATCCAAAGCCAGGAGCCAGGTGCTTCTCCTGGTCTCCCATGCAAGTGCAAGGCCCAAGGATTTGGGCCACCCTCCACTGCCTTCCTGGGCCACAGCAGAGAGCTGGACTGGAAGAGGAGCAACTGGGACAGAACCCAGTGCCCCAACTGGGACTAGAACCCCAGATGCCGGCGCTGCAGGTGGAGGATTAACCTAGTGAGCCGTGGCACAACTTTCTATACAAGAATGACACTATTGGGGCTGGTGCTGAGGCATAGCAGGTAAAACCACTGCCTGCAGTGCAGACACCCCATATGGGCACTGGTTTGAGTCCTGGCTGCTCCACTTTCAATCCATAGCTCTCTGCTATGGCCTGGGAAAGCAGCAGAAGATGGCCCAAGTCCGTGGGCCCCTGCACCCATCGTGGGAGCCCTGGAAGAAGCTCCTGGATCCTGGATTTGGATCAGTGCAGCTCTGGCTGTTGCAGCCAATTGGGGAGTAAACCAGTGGATGGAATACCTCTCTCTTCTCTCTCTCTCTCTCTCTCTCTCTCCTCTCCTTCTCTCTCTGTGCAACTCAGCTTTTCAAATAAGTAAATCTTTAAATATGACACTATTATACATAGAGATAATCAGATACAATCAAATTAAAAACAAGCTGATAAGAGAATCAAGCATTGGGGCTGACGCTTGTGGTGTAATGGGTAAAGCCACCACCTGCAGTGCAGACATCCCATATGGGCACTGCTTCACTTCCAGTACAGTTCTCTGCCATGGCCTGGGAAAGCAGAAGATGGCTCCTGTGTGGGAGACCTGGAAGAAACTCTTGATTCCTGGCTTTTGATTGGTGCAACTCCAGCCATTGTGGCCATCTGGGGAGTGCAACAGGGGATGGAAGACCCCTCTCTGTCTCAGCCTGTCTATAGCTCTATCTTTCAAATAATTAAATAAATAAAAGTTTTATTAAAAAAGAATTAAGCACTATTACTGGATACAACAGCAATACCTATCTTCAGGGGTGTTACTACACACCACCAAGAAACAAATAGAAAACAATTTTAAGGAACAAATATAGAGTAGGAAATGAATGTAAGAGAAACTGAGGCAAAGAATGATGAATCGAGTAGTCTTCAAGTCGGTATTAAAAAATCTTAAATAAACTCCCTGAAAAAATATATAAAGGAAAGACCCAGAATCCAGTAAATATTGTCAAGTATAACTCACCTTAAGAAGTCACAAGAGCCTAGCAGGATCAGAGAAAACGGAGGAAGGAGCTATCTCAAGAGGGGAGCTCGTCAGGAGGTGACAGCACCACCTACTGTTGGGAGTATCCATCCAAAGAATCCGAGTCAGCCGCAGCTGTGCGCTCAAGCCACAACCCTTAGTTTCCGAAGACACCACAATCCCCATAGAGCGCCCTCCTACCACAGGCGACACTGATTGGCTGCGTCTTCTCTTTCATCGCGCATGCTCACTGGCTGTGTGAATGATCCGTTCCTTCAGCCTCACCTGGGGAGCACTGCACATGCGTCTTCCTTCTGAGAACCGCCATTCTCCGCTTCCCGGTGCTGTTTCTGGTGGTGGCTCCAGGCGGCTTCGCTTTGCCTCTCTGTGAGCTTCGATCGTTAGGGTCGTTACCGAGTTCTTAGGACAACCAGATGCCTCACAGCTGGAAAATGGTGAGTGTGGGCCCAGTTCCCTCTGAGCTGGGCCAGCAGCTGGGCCCTGGGCATCTCCTCCCATCACTGCAGTCCGTGGCTTTGGCTCAGTTCTCAAGTCTTGCATCTTCCCCAAATGTGTGCGAAGGACAGGAGGGTCCTTAGACTCCAGACTTTCCATATGGTCTTTGTGTGTGGGGGGGCTGTGATCTGGGGGTCCTCTGTGCTAGGAGGGTCCTTAGACTCCAGACTTTCCATCTAGCCTTTGTGTGTGTGTGTGTGGGGGGGCTGTGACCTGGGGTCCTCTGTGCCACCTTTCTGCCCCGGGGTGACCTGATTCTTCTGAGTTGGAAACAGGGTTTCATGTTGGTAACCAGTCCGGTCAGTGCAGTTCTTCCTGGGAACCTGAGTCTCCTTTCTGTTGATAATAACCCAGTATCATAGACTGGGTAAGTTATTAGAAATAGTATTTGCCTTGTGGTTTTTCTCTGAAGTTCCAAGGCAGCCTCTGGTGATGGTCTTGTGGCAGAGGCCTGGGGTAGCACAGAGACCACGTGGCCAAATAAAGGGAGAGCAGGGAGGCCAATACAAGGTATCTAACAGAACAGAGCCTCCGAGAGGTGACCCCATTACCCCATTCATCACGTGAATGGATTTGTCTTAGTCATCACCTATGAGGTCCCACCTCTTAATTTCTAAAATTGGGATTAAATTTTTCCATTAGATTGAGGGGGATAAACTGTGTTCATGGGAAGCATTAAGCCTGGCCAAAAAAAAAAAAAAAAGTCTCTAAATATCTAGATCTTCCACGTTGCCAAATGCCAACTGTCCTCTGAAGTTCATGGTACTACCAAGTATTTAACCTATGTTACATTTCATTCAGCTTCAGGTAAAATATTATTATTAATATTTTTTCTACAAGAAAATTCTGTCACTCTTTAAAGACTTATTTTATATCTGAGAACATATATATTATTTATGTTACATATGACAGGGAAACAAAGAATGCCTACCTGACACCACAGTGTAAAAAATAAAAAAAAAAGCAGTGGTTAAGATGGGCCATCTTATACTGATTTCCCAGGCACATTAGCAGGGAGCTGGATCAGAAGTGTAACATCCAGGACTTGAACCAAAGGTTACAGGTGATGCTAGCAGTGCAAACGAGGCTTAGCCCTCTATGCCACAGCCCCTCCCCCCTCCTTTTTTCTTTTGCCTCAGTTTCATCCACGCATACCACAGTCTGAGGGTGTGATTCTGCCAATTCATTTAGTGCTTTCACTACATGTGACTTGAATAATATGAAATTAATTTTTTACATTGCTGACAATACATTTTTTAAGATTTATTTATTTATTTGAAAGTTAGAGTTACACAGAGGCAGAGAAAGAGAAAGAGGTCTTCCATCTGATGGTTACACCCCAGATGGCTGCAACCCCTGGAGCTGTGCCGATCCGAAGCCAGGAGCTAGGACCTTCTTCTGAGTCTCCCACATGGGTACAGGGGTTCAAGTACTTGAGCCATCTTCTACTGCTTTCCCCGGCCATAGCAGAGAGCTGGACAGGAAGCATAGCAGCTGGGTCTTGAACTGACACCCATTAGGGATGCCGGCGCTTTAGGCCAGGCCATTAACCCACTGTACCACCCTGCCAGCCCCACCTTTCTTTTTCTTTTTTCAAGATTTACTTATTTGAAAGACAGAGTTATAGACAGAAAGGGAGAGACAAAGGGAGAGAAATAGATGTTCCATCTGCTGATTGACTCCTCAAATGCCTGCAATGGCTGGGGTTGAGTCAGGTCAGAGGCAGGAGTCAGGAGCTTCTTCTCAGTCTCCCATGTGAGTGCAGGGACACAGGCAGTGGGGCCATCTTCTGCTTCTTTCTCAGGCACATTAGCAGGGCGCTAATCAGAAGTGGAGCAGCCAGGTCTCGAACTGGTGCCCATATGGGATGCTAGTGCTGGTGTTGCAGACAAAATTTTACCTGCTTTGCCACAATGCTGGCCCTGACAGTATCTCCTGGTTCATGTTTCTCAAGTGCTAGTTTATGGTAAATTATTTAAAATAATGGGAAAATATTGTTAAATTCTGATTCTGTAGGAAGTGCTGATACAGTAGATGGATTAACTGTCTAACTTGTCATGTGTTTACTTATTTGTGACTTGCCAACACTTGGGGTGACCTTATTTATTTTCTCCATCCACTGTTAATTGATATTTCTGTATGATTGCATATTGCTAACTGCTAAAAGCCACTGATTAAGCATGTATACTATTGTATTTATTTATACTGATCACCAGTGGTGGATGTATTTCTCCTGGAGTTCTGTACATTTTTTCTTATGTAGTTTGATGCTCTATTTTTTCTTATGTAGTTTGATGTTAGGTACTTTGGTAGACTCATTGTAATATCTTCTTGGAGGACTGGCTGCTGCTTCACTTGTAATTTTTCTGATTTAAACACTAATTAGTCTGAAATGAATATTCAATTTCCAGATATCATTGTAAAGGTGTTATAATAGACTGAATGTTTATGTTTAATCATCTATGCCTTCATGTTGACCTTTTAAATACATACTTACTCACTTTATGTTGACAGAATTGAACATACAGCACATAAAATGATGTTTAAAGATATTCATGCACTGGTAACGAATAAATCTAATCAATTGTCACATTCATTACGTCACATACCTCTTTTTAATGATGAGGACACTTAAAATCTAATCTCTTTGTTATTTGCCATAGTACAGTATATTGTGATTAAATATTGCCACCATGTTGTACAACAGACTTCTTTATTTCTCCTATGCCAAAGAAATTTGTTGTTCTTTGACCAAAATGGCCTCAGATTTCCTCTGTATGTCTTTATATTTCAATGGTTTTCCAGGATACAACAAAAAGCTGGATCTCGATTTTAATTTTCATGTGTCAGTCTCTACCTTTTAAATGATTTATTTAGACAATGGATATTTTAAATACTTTGATATAGTATAATTAATATGTAATTGAATGATGGAGAGTCAGAGACAGAGGGAGAGAAAGGCTATCTCCTTGGTACATTCTCCAAATAGTCACCATGGCCAGGGCTGCTAAGAACTCCATCTATGTTTCCTATATAGGTGATGGGGGCCCAAGGACTTAGACCATGTTCCCAGGGAGCTGGATCAGAAGCTGAGCACCAGGGCTCAAACTGGTGTTCAGATATCAGATACTGGAATCAAAGTTAGTTATCCACAATTCCAGCCTTTTGTTTTTAAATTGTTTTATTCATTTATCTTATTTATAAAGCGCAGACACACAGTAAGCGAGAGACAGTGATCTACCCTCTTGTTTTACTCTTCAGATGCCTGCAAGATCTGGAGATGGCCCTGGCCAGAATGGAGGAACTTATATATTCCAGATCATGTTAGCAAAGACCTGAGTACTTGAGTATTCTGCTTTCTTCCAGTGTATGCAGTAGTGGAAACCTGGAATTTGGGGTAGAGCCAGGACTCAAGTACAAGCACACCAAGGTGAGAGGAGGGCATTCAAAATGACCTCCTTACCACTATGTGAAAGCGCACACCTCTCCTATTTTAATTGAGGATTCTGGAGGAGTCCATTTTCTGTCTTCAGTTAAGATACCAAGGAGGGGCTGGTTCTGTGGTGTAGCAGGTAAAGCCCCTGCCTGCAGTGCTGGCATCTCATATGGGCGTGGGTTTGAGTCCCTGCTCCTCCACTCCTGATCCAGCTCTCTCCAGTGTTGACAAGTCACAAATAGAGTCACTTACAGTGGCTTGGGAAAGCAGTAGAAGATGGCCCAAGTCATTAGGCCCCTTCACCCATAGGGGAGACCCAGAAGAAGCTCCTGGTTCCTGGCTTTTGATGGTCCCAGGCTGTTTGGGGAGTGAACCAGTGGATAGAAGACTTCTCTTTCTCTCTCTCCCTGCCTCTACCTCTCTGTTACTGCCTTTAAAATAAATAAATTAAAAAAAAAAATAAAAAGGAGGAATCAAATCCCCAATTGGCTGCAACAGCCAGAGGTGTGCCAATCTGAAGCCAGGAGCCAGGAGTTTATTCCAGATCTCCCATGGGTACAGGGGCCCCAGGACTTGGGCCACCTTCTACTGCTTTCCCAGGCCATAGCAGAGAGCTGGATTAGAAGTGGAGCATCTGGGACTTGAACTGGTGCCCATATGGGATGCTGGCACTGCCGGTGGTGGGTTTACTCACTGCATCACAGTACTGAGCCAACATGGATTCCTTATATAATATTAGATTTGAACACATACACGCAACAGGATTTGAACAAACCAGAGAACTATCTTTTAAATACCTTTTTCTTTGTGTTTAGGTCTTACCAGCTGCTCTCTTCCAGTGCTTTTTCTCCCCTTTCTTCCAGCTCTTTTTACAGAACATCATATTGTGAACTACAGGCACCATACTGTGTTATGAAACTCTGGAACTTGTTACTTCTGTCTCACTTTGTTTTGGTGATTGCTATTCAAACTCCTTCTTCCCAGAGCCCTCACTCTTCCCAGTCTCTAGTAATCATAATTCTGTTTTTTATTTATTTGAAAGGCAGAATTGTAGAGAGAGAGAGAGAGATAAAGAGAGAGGGAAAGAGAGATCTTCCATCTGCTGGTTCACTCCCCAAAAGGCTATAAAGGCCAAGACTGGGCCATATTGAAGTCAGGAGCCAGGAGCTTCATCTGGTCTCCTACATAGGTGCAGGGTCCCAAATATGTTGGCCTTTCCCCACTACCTTCCCAAACCATTAGCAGGGAGCTGGATCAAAAGTGGAATAGCCAGAGGGCTGGTGCTGTGGCATACTGGGTAAAGCTTTTGCCTGCAGTGCCAGCATCCCATATGGGCAGCTGTTTGAGTCATAGCTGCTTCTCTTCTGATCCAGCTCTCTGCTGATGGCCTGGGAAAGCAGTGGAAGATTGCCCAAGTCCTTGGGCCTCGGCATCCACAGGGGAGACCCAAAAGAAGATCCTAGCTTCAGATTGACCCAGCTCCTACCATTGTGGACATTCTGG